CTACTTTAACACCCCTCCTTAGATCTCCCAAAGCATTCTTCCATAACATCGCGGAAGATCTGTTATGTATCGAACAATTTCTTCGGCAGGGAAATGTAAATTAAGTGGAGAAATAAAGAGACCTTTCCGATGTAAGAATACGCATTTATTCTCAAAAAAAATAATTTCCCACGACAATATTTATTTATCTCCGAGCACGATAAAAGGGAAGGTTGTCTTTAAATTGTTACCTCTCTTTGTTGTTCAACGGAACTTAAAAATTTACCGTGCGTCCTAGCCGAAAAGTAACTGGCCATTATTCCGTTTCTTACATTAAAAAACTCCAATAATGGGACAGTCACCCTGATGAGAGGAAACCTGCTTCATCCCCTAGTGTTCCCGCACCCCTAACAAACCTGTTTTTTTATGTCCCTAGGGGGAAAACCCTGTGACCTCGATTTAAAAAGGGACAGAACACATCTTCTACGGTTTTCTTAAAAAACAGGCCCAAGGCAGGATTGTCACATGGTGGAAACTGATGGATGTTGCGGGCTGCCCTGACGTCAGACTGCTCAGCACTGACGTCATATGCCTGCATCACTAGCAGATCGATATTAGGCGTTCTTTACGGAAAGGACGAGATAGTACCCGAAACTGGTACGACCAGCATTCGGAACAAACTAATTCTAATTAAATTTTTTAATACTAAAAGTCTGGATCTATAAAAATATCAAGGCTTAGGAACATAAAAAAATATCAAGACTCTGGAACCTAAAAAATCAAGACTGTGAAACCTAAAAAACACCAAAACTCTGAAACCTAAAAATATCAAAACTCTGGAACATAAAAAACAGGTATTCGAAGATAGTATTTTACTGGAAGGTAAGAAAAAATATCTAACGTTCAATACTCTTCTAATTAAACAAAGAACAATATTCTGCGATGTAAATGTTAAGTGGGTGTTGATGTGACAATAATATAAGCCTAATGGGCCTATTCAATTTAAACAAGAAAAAGAACATTAGACAATAACTGTGATCGCGAAGTCAAAGGCCCTGAAATAAAGGGTTTGTGGGATCGAATCCCACTAGAGGCAAATGCTCACTTCTCTCTCTCTTTCTCTGTAGACACAGGCATCGCGGCGGTCTGACCCCCGTCCAAGGAGTCCCACAAACTGTCTAAAAAGATTCGGGAAACCGTCAGAAATTGTCTTCAGAAACACCAGGGCTTAGAGCGGACCAAAAGACTAAACACACATGTGGAGAAAACTAGATAAAATATGTGAAAGAACGGACAATTATCGAATACCTGAGCAGGGCTGGCAATACTGCCCCAGAGGAAAGACAAGCGATGGACGAACAACAAAAAACGGTCAGAAGAAATATGGTTACTTAACCCATAGGATGGGGCCGTACGAGGTTCATTACGTTTATGATCATGAGATTGATTTTGGTGGTAAACATTCACAAAATCGAAAACAGTTTGCAGCAAAATTTGCGTGGTGGTGGAGGGACACCAGGAAATGTTAATTTTGTGTCCGCCGACAGAAATAGCAATTTCTGCACAGTTCAAGAACACATGCACATATTACGAAGTTATCCAGCCTTAGGAAAGTTCGCTGAGAAGTTCTTCGATCTACCGATTTCAATCATCAGTAGAACGCGAATACGTATTAAAAAAAGATACTGCCTTTTATAAAAGGTAGCCCCATTAAGTTTAGCTCCCCTAAGAACACTTTTTATCAGTTCCTATTTTGAATATCCACGATAAAAAACGGCTGCAAGAAAATGACGAGGTTTTGCACCTGAAAGCGAATTCCCATGCCCCGGGGATCCTCCTCCTCCCTCTACCGCTGGTCGACTGCTGAAGCATGGAAGGAGGAAATATCATTCTTTTTTCTCTCTCTTTCTTCTCTGTTGTGCCACTAAAAAAATCCCTTCTTCAACGCCACCAAATTCCAAAGGATCTCCAATTTCAGTACAGGGTGTATCAGAAAACGAGAATACCAAAAAACACATTTCCACTCCGGATCAAATCAAATTTACAGTGCAGTCCTTTTCTAACAGGTCACAGTTATCCATCTGAACACGAAATTCGCTGCTCCTGAGCTCTAAACGTCATCACGTATCATCAGAAAAGCCAGAATTTGGGCCCCACCTTTCGGCGTCAATTCAACATCGCACATTCCGTGTCTCTAAGATTCACATCGATAAGCCCTCAAAATGTCTCTATTTCTTATTTCATTTGACATGCATTCTTTAATGTACTTAAAATACCAGCACGTTGATAGTACAAACTAAGAAGTTCTCTGTAGTTTGCTGTTGTATGAAAAGTCAGTACCCGAAAACCATCGAAAAACTTTATGAAAGCCCAAGTTACAAGGAATTAACCAACATTACCCGACACCAAAAACGTTTACTGAGGATTCCTAAAAAAATATCAAAATTCTATATTCGAAACTAGAGTTAGTCTGAGTTAATACAATCATCGTTAAATAAAACGTAAATAAATACAAAACGTATTCACAAAAACCCCAATACTGTCTTTCCTAAATCCAGTTCACTGTTTGATCT